CCACCACGTTGTGGATTTTTTTTAAAATTATAAAGTTTAAAAAATGTTTTACCTCTAAAAATTCTTAAATTTTCAAAACTAAATCTTACTACGACATAGTTAACTCAAAAATAAATGATAAAATAATTTTTTTTTTTTATAAAAGTGACATTTTTTACAAATTTTTTGAAAAGATAATATTTTTGAAAACTGTGACTTGAAAAATAGTATTTTTAAAGATTTCGAAAACTCAATATATTAGTTTATGTCGAGCCAAATCATTGAAAAGATGTTGGGAACAAAGCTCATTGCAAGAGCGATTGGGCCCGAACATATATTTACAAAATCAAAACCCTAAAGCCCTGAAAAATCAAGAAGAAAACGAACAAGAAACACCACCACTTACAGTATTTCAGCTCCCATAAAAATTTTCAAATCCGGCGGCGGACATCGAACTTTTTTTCCCGACGGAAGCTACGAAAATGGGAAGAGGAAGACAAAGAGGTCGTTCTCAGAGGAAACATTTCAAAGAAAGCAGAGAGAATGTCTGGAAACGCCCCAAATCCGATGCTACCATCGATGCTTCCGACAACGCCGCACCGGAGAAACCCAGTTGGGAACCTATCTTGACTGATAACCCTGGTTTCGAGGAGTATTACAAGGTAACATACTCGTGATTCCGTATAGAATCCAAACAGTTTATGGTAACTTCAGGTTATGAGCTATTGAGGGTTTAGGGTTTGCTGGCTTTTCCTTCCGATGAATGGATTTGATTTTTTGTAGGAACAAGGGATCGTGAAAGCAGAAGAGTGGGATTTGTTCATGGAGATTCTTCGTAAGCCTTTACCTGCTGCGTTTAGGGTGAACTCCAAGTAATGCATTTGTTCTCTTCACTTTGTAATTTGTTCATAGTCTCAGTCAAGTTTAGGGTTTAGTTTTCCATGTAAAACCATAAGGTGAAGTTTATTACTGCAACTTAGATTGGCGCAAGATTGCAATTACTAACTCGATGCTGCCTTTTCGCTCTTTTATGAAATTTGCAGTAGCCAATTTTGCTGTGATATTATATCGATCTTGGAGAATGACTTTGTCAAATCTCTTCAGGCAGAGGTAAAATACATGTTTGTAATTGAGCGATTGTAACGCCGTCCTGTATTAGACCTTGGAATCTATATGATCTCACATTGGTTTATGCTTTTTAGGCCATAGAAGGTGGTGAATCGGAGGCTATCAAGCCTTTGCCTTGGTATCCGAAGAATCTCGCTTGGCATTCTAATTTTTCTCGAAAGCAGATTAGAAAAAATCAGACACTTGAGAGGTATATTTTCACTAACACATGAATGCTTCTAGTTCTAGTTACTTGAACTTCAGATTAGTAGATAATGGAAGTTCTAGTTACCTGGCTTTTTATGCATGGTTAAAGAAATCGTGTGTTTGTCGTGTTACACATGATGGGTAAGATAGCTTAATACTCTGTTCCACCATTGGGAGTTTTCAGGTTTCATGAATTTCTGAAATTAGAAAATGAAGTTGGAAACATTACCAGGCAGGAAGCTGTTAGTATGGTAAGATAGCTTAATACTCTGTTCCACCATTAACGTTGTTTTGTCGTTACCAACATTTATCAAACTGTTGTTTGCTTAATCATACAGGTACCTCCTCTCTTCCTCGACGTACATCCAGATCATTTTGTACTTGACAGTGAGTGAATTTTTATTCGATATTGTTTGAAAACCAAAAAAATTTCAAGGGGCTCAACGAAGTATCCACCTTTTGAAAGGGAGAAATGTCACTGATCATGACTGTATCTGATTTCTGGGAAAGTAAGAAGTCAATGCTTACTGATAACTTTGTCTTCTCGTTTTGTCTGAGCAGTGTGTGCTGCACCTGGCTCCAAAACATTTCAGCTGCTTGAGATTATACATGGAGCATCAGAACCAGGAACTCTACCTAATGGAATGGTTTGTGTTGGTGTTCATATTCTTTATTCAGAAATTCTGGTTTTTGGGGGATCGATAATTGATGTTTCTACCTTAATAATCAGGTGGTGGCTAATGATGTTGATTTCCAAAGATCTAACCTTCTAATTCACCAAACAAAGAGAATGTGCACTGCCAACTTGATAGTGACTAATCATGAAGGCCAACAATTTCCTGGTTGCCGCTTGAACAAATCCCGAGCTTCCGAGAAAGGATTAAGTGAAGATATGCCTATCAATCAACTTTCCTTTGACCGTGTTCTATGCGATGTTCCATGCAGTGGTGATGGTACACTGCGCAAGGCTCCAGACATCTGGCGGAAATGGTGTTTTCACCTTTGCCTTTTCTTATTATCCACCGCGTTATGAGGCATTAATTCTAGAAATTCTTATTCCTTTTGGTTTATGTACAGGAATTCTGGAATGGGCAATGGACTTCATAGCCTACAGGTTATACTTGCTATGAGGGGTAAGCATTTCTTATATAGGAACCAAGTCCATGAAAGCACTCGTAGAGTTACCAGCCTGTCTTAAACACGTATGCTTGGTCTTGTATAGGTTTATCTCTGTTGAAACTTGGTGGGAGAATGATATACTCAACCTGCTCAATGAACCCAGTTGAGGATGAAGCTGTGGTCGCTGAGGTAATTGTCAAGTAACTTCTTCACCTTTCATTATTAAACCTGTTATAGCTGTAACCGCTAAGAATCCTTGCTCGAATTCAGATTCTAAGGAGGTGTGGAGACTCTGTTGAACTTGTAGATGTTTCTGATAAGCTTCCTGAACTTATACGAAGACCAGGTCTTAAGAAGTGGAAGGTCAGTTTCTACCTTTATTAACGATTGAACAAACCCTCATCTTTAGAATCTAATGGGATTTATTAACTAATGTTATTTGCCTTCTCTTTTTTGGATCCAGGTGCGTGATAAAGGTGTCTGGTTTACTTCTTACAAAGATGTTCCACAAAACCGAAGAGGCGGAGTTCTTGTGAGCATGTTTCCTTCTGGGAAAAACCTCAAGGACTCAACCGAAACAACGGAGAATGAGAACGGTGGTGTTAATGGCTGTGAAGATGAATGCAAAGAAACAGATAATTCTGTGGTGGATGCTACTCCTGATGAACCAGAAATCTCTGGTCTTCCACTTGAGCGTTGTATGAGGATAATGCCTCACGATCAGAACACAGGAGCCTTTTTCATTGCGGTTCTTTGCAAAGTTTCACCCCTACCAGGTGATTATAATTTTTGGACAGCTTCTGGTCATGTTTAATGACCTATATCTCTGTAGGACTTATCAATTGTTTTCTCACAGATTTTCAGGAGAAACCAAATCCGAGAAAGCACTCATCTACTAAAAATGCTGAATCGACAGAAAAGTCTCTGGTTAAAGAAACAGTTGTTACTGTTGATGTTGAACCAGTAGAGAGTGCAGTGGGAAAAGTTATAGAAGCAGATTCAAACAAGGAAGATGATAGCTTGGTGGAGCCTGAAAAGAAAAGCACAGAAGGAGAAAGCATCACTGAGGTTAAAGAAGCTGATTCAAGTAACGCGGGGGGCAAGAGAAAAGTACCAATGCAAGGGAAGTGGAAAGGCTTTGACCCTGTTGTTTTCCTAAAAGACGAGACAGTAATCAATGGCGTTAAGGCATTTTACGGTATCAAAGATGAATCATTTCCATTGTATGGTCATCTTGTGGCAAGAAACACCGACACAAGCAGCGTGAAGAGGATTTACTATGTTTCAAAATCGGTTAAGGAAGTTCTTCAGCTGAATTTTGCAGTCGGACAGCAGCTTAAGATCGCTTCCGTTGGCCTCAAGATGTTTGTAAGTACAAAAATTATATTCTTTCCTTGCGGTTGATCAATCGTAAGAAGCAGGGTCAAAACTTTAAGTTATTTGTAACCAATTGAAACGCAGGAGAGACAATCGGCAAAAGAAGGCTCAAGCTGTGCATTCCGTTTATCATCCGAGGGACTACCTGTGATCCTTCCATACATCACCAAACAAGTACTTCCTACTCCAATGGCAGACTTCAAACATCTTCTGCAATACAAGTCAATCAAGTTTCCGGATTTTGTTAATCCACAGTTGGGCCAGAAAGTAATTGACCTTGCCATGGGATGTTGCGTGGTGATTCTCAACGACGGTGCGTACTGTTTGGTTAATGTAGACGCTTTTTTTTTCATGTAGGATGTGGTTTTTACAGTTTTACTGGTATCTCAGGTGAAGAACTGGCGAAAGTGGATGCATCAACAATAGCCATCAGTTGCTGGAGAGGGAAGAATAGTTTGGGTGTTATGGTCACTGCTGCGGATTGCCAGGAGCTGCTAGAGAGACTTGCCGAGAGAACACCGAAAACCGATGGCGGTTCCGTAAATGGAAGCAATGCTGATTCGGGCGGTCCTGAGGCTATGGAGACGGCTTAAAGCCCTACTTTCATCATAACTTCAGATTGTTTGTTCTCCTTTGTTGTGTTTTTGAATATTCACTTACTCCAAATTCCTTTTCATATAAGCATGATGACTTTTGATGGATAGACACAAATGAAAGTTTTTGTTCCAAAACTCCTAATATTTCCAGAATCCGAAACATTTGACCTAAACAATTTCTATTCAAATGGATGTTTAACATTCCAAAATGCAAAATAATGATATACAATAAAAAATTCTCACTATCTATCGCCCAAATCAGAATTTTTGCTTCGCAGTAAATGAAATGTTTGATTTTTTTCCCTTTATCATCTGTAATAGAGCAAATCAAGAGGACTTACGAGTTACAACACATGGTGCTCTTGGTGTCTTCCATGGGAACCGATCTCTGATCTTGTTACCGATGAGGATGATGACAATGTTCTTATCGGCGAGTGCTCGTAATTCTTCTAACCACCGAGGAATGTGGTCAAAGGATTCGCGGTTTGTCAAGTCGTAAACCAACATTGCACCAACAGCACCTCTGTAGTACGCGTTTGTAACAGCTCTGTATCTGCTCAGAGCAAAAGAAGAAAGAATATCACTCCTCAAAAGCAATAGCAGCTACGTTGCTATAAACAACTAAGAAATAAATATTGCGGAATCCGAAGAAGAAATCAATCAACAGAAGAATTCTAACACTATTATTCCTCTTGATTATTTTCCAATCAAATCAAGTACTGTGGGCATCAAATGTCACAGATCTTGTCCAGTAGAAGAAGAATTAGTTACCGTTCCTCACCTGCGGTATCCCAGATCTTGAGTCTGGCTTTCGAATCCATACTGAATTCGTCTCAGCGAGTAGCTGGGATTTCCCAACCGCCGAATCACCGATCAAAACAACTTTAAAGACGTAATCCACTTTTCCTCCAGCCATCTTCTTCTTCTTCGTCACCGGCGA